CCGGCCGCGCCGGCACTGCAGGCTCGGCGAGCCCCGCGCCTCTTTTTGTTCCGCGTCCCCCAGGTAAGGAGCCTACGCCGCCGCCCGCCGTGTGCGGAGCTTTCCAGCTCTTTCCTTGCCGGCCCCCTCCGGTCTCCCGGCTTGCCTTTCCTGCTAAGTCAGGCAGGCGAGGGAAACCGGCCCCCGGCCCTCCGATCGATCGCGTGGAAAACTTTCCAGCGGGAGGCACGGTGAGGGGAAGAAGAAGGCCTTACTGGCTGCTGTCCCTTGTCAGTTCTTTCTCCTCCGGGTCCGGAGAGTGGAGTCGCTGCTCCCTGGGGTTGTTGCACGTTCAAACTTAGGGCCTAAACGTGCCTCATGCTCTCGCAGGATTTACTCCAGCAGTGAACTAAATATTCAGAGTCGTCCACTTGGTCTTGCCAGGCGTTTGGATTTTTTAAGAGCAGGAGACAGGCTTGGGAGTCGATGGAAATAGGGTGTTGTGCAGAACCCATTCCTTCTTTAATGTCTGCAGCGGGTGTTATGTAATTTTAGTAGCACATGAGTGCAAAGCCCATACTGGGCTTCTCCCCTCCTTTGTTTATATAACTTTGGGGAGAGTTTTGCAAGGTTGTCGCCTCGTTTTTACCTCCTCCTTAACCTGATGGAGGTTGGTGGTTTTGAAAAAGCAAGGCAACCTGGGCTAGTATTTTAAGGAGATGTGTCATCCTTATCTCCTGGTTATTATATAGGCTGTGTTCCTAACTATGAGTGATGTTGGCGCATAAAGAAGGTATTAAGGATACGCGTTTGCCTACTGCATTGAGTAGTTATTTCTAACGTCCACGCGTTACCAGTAGCAGAAAATTTCAACTTCCATTTCTAAAGGACTTTTTAATTTACACCGGCTGTGCCCGGCTTGTAGGAAGAGAATGCTTGTAGGAACAGAAAGATTGTTGCTTGCGTGCTGAGTGGAAGAAAATTCCTCTCTAAAAATCTAACTAAGGCTCAGAAACCTCTGAGAGCTCTACTAAGATAAAAGCCATGTCCAGTGTTCTGTGTGTGTGTATACTGACATATGCACATGCAAATGTTGGTTCAGTCATATTTTCCACCAGTTATTGGGGGACCACAACCTCAGGTTTGTTTGCCAACACTAGACGTACCTGGCTTCTAGCCTCTTCTAGCACTCTGGTCAAAGTGTTGAGAGGTGTGGCAGGTTTGAATCCCAGTGAATGCATTGTTATGCAAATGAAGACACACTTTCTCCTTTAGGAATCTAATTGCCCTTTTATTCTCCTGGACTTTTTAAAGCTCCCTGACAACTCGATTGTTTGCTACTGGAAAGAGGGGATTTGGAGATACCTGTAAGGACAAAAGATAGTTACTGACGTGGCCTGAAGCAAAAAACCAAACCTGTAGACAGCTGCCCATCTACCTTGTTGGGGGACATGAAAGAGAGAAGCCATCTTGGTGAAGAACATTGTAAAATAAATTAGGAGTTAGGGGATATCAGAACCCTTGAAGAATTCAAGGGCAGGGGTGAGGGGGCGGTTCCTTGAACACAGCTTCTTTCTCTCCTGAGCAACTTCAGTTACATCCCAGCTTCGGGAATGGCTGCACTGTGTTGTTTCACAGAAAATACTCACTGCAAGAGAGTGTTCAAAGCAGCTTTAGATCTTCTCTTTTGTTCATTTTTTAAAAGTGGTTTTTGAGCATTTCTTGTCAAATTTCTTAAAAAGTGCTTTAACTAACACCTGAGGCTTGAAATTGACCAAAAATTTAAAAAAAAAAAGAGGAAGAAGAAGAAAAAGTGCCTCCACTCCTGTTATACTGCTAATGTTTGGATTCTGTTTAAAATATTTCTGAAGATATAACCAGAAAGTAACGCTTGAGCAAATGATTATTTAAAACTTTTTTCTTTGATTGAGTTTAAGGTAAGTTGACTAGCATAACAGCTTATCC